CATTAGATTACATTCCTGAAGCTAGCCCCCATGGTCCATTCCTTATTTGGCCAATCCCTCCTCCTGAGGCTGACTACTAAGGCCCAGCTATCAAAGGTCCAACAATCAAAAGCTCCCCTTGGCTTATCTAATTAACATGCCCAATTAAAATTAAACACCCCATCGTACACGAGGTTTCCTCTTGTACCTTTATAAGCTGCTATTTTCCTATAGGCCATGTCTATCTTGTCTCTATCCAGAGGCAGTCCTTTGTCCTAAGGGACAAATTCTTTTGTCCCCTTTCCCTTGTTACCTTTCCATTGCCCCTCATCCTCAAATCTCCTGCCTTTGTCTCTTATTCCCTGCCACCTCTCCCTCTGGGGCAAATGAATCTCCTTTGTGCTGAGAACTTGGTCTTGCAGTGTACTGAGCTAACTTTGAGGTTCCCTACACAGCTTTACCTGCTTTTTTTCACACAGGGTTCCTATGTGTAAACCTGGCTGTCCAGGAACTCACTCTGAAAAGCAGGCTGGCCCTGCATTTAGAGATGAACCTGCCTCTGCTTACCTGTTTGTTTTTTGTTGTTGTTTCTTTTTAAATGAGGGTTTTTCTAAGTGTTTAGCTAAGCTGCAGGCTTCCACACCCCACAACCAAGCAACTCTGTGAGGAAATGCAGGCACACCACTAAAAAGCCAGGTATAGGGGCCAGGGTGATGAATCAGTGGAGTTAAGAGCACTTCCAGAGAGTCTGGGTTCTATTCCCAGCCCAAATATGGTAGCTCACAACCACCTGTAACTCCGGTTCCAGGTAATCCAAGCACCTCCTACTGCCCTCTCCAGACACTAGGCATAAACGTATTGCACAGACATACATGCAATAGATAACAAAATTATATACACCAATAGATATAAAATTTAAACAAGCAAAAGACATAGATAAACAGACAAAAACATAGATAACTATATATAGTCAGGTGTAGCTTGTTGTGCAATTGCATTCCTGTAATCCCAGCACTGGAGGAGGCAAAATGATCGCAAGCTTGAGATCAACCTGGGCTACAGAGAAGGTTCCAGATCAGTCTCAGTCAGTCTCTCCCTCTCCCTTGTCCCTCTCCCTCCCTCCCTCCACCACACCTTCAAAAAAGTCAGGGGTAAGCTGGCTCCACAGACACAGATGGATGTCCTAGGCCTGAGTTTGTCTACACATTAATGAGAAAGTGAAGACAGAAGATCAGAAAATGCAGATGTTTCCTGGAGCATCAGGGTACTTGTGTTTGGGAAATAATCAACACACAATCATTAGGTGCAGTAAGTGTGAGTGCAGTAAGGTGCAGTAAGTCTGTACCACTGTATACAAGTTCAGTTTATAAAGGGTTTCTGTAATCCTCATGTCACTTATATTTAAAGATCTTGCATACGAGTGAGGTGCTGGGATTACCATCGTCATTTCACAGGGGCCAAAAATTATCCCCTGGTCTAGGGAGTGATCAAGGTAAATGTAATTCTGGGTTCCTCCTAGTCAGTATCTGCTCCCGTGTAAGAGCTACTGAAAACTCTACGGAACAAGTTTCTTTCCCAGACCTCATTAGCACCCCAGGAGGATCTAAACACTAAAGTCCTTTCCAGTGTATACAAACACTAGTAACCAGCAGCTCTGGCGGGATCTAGCGAGCCAGAGTTGGGCTTAGGGGGCTGAGCCGCTGAAGACCTAGAGGACTGAGCGGTGGGGAGGAAGCTGCACTGCGCGGAGCTCTACCGCATGCGCCCGGACACCCGCGAGGGGCTGCGGCTGGAGGGCGGGTAGCTCACCTTGAGGCGGTTCAGTTGGTCGTGGAGGGCCGCCTTTAGACGCAGCAGGGTCTCCTCCTCCTTGCGAAGCTCCTGTAGCCGGCTTAACATCCTTTCAGCTCGTTAGGCCGCTGTCTTTTGCCGGGCGCCGGGTGATGACGTCACTACCGACTCTCGGAAGCAGGCATTGATCGCCAGACTATCCTCTTCAATCCACTTAGTATGGGTTTAGTGTCCACCGGGAGTCTGAAACAGGATAGTGGAAAACCAAGGAACTTGGAGGCTTAATTCTGTTGCTGGTTCCAGAAAATGAAACTGAGTAAACTCGTTTCATAGGCCTCAGGAAGTCAGTTACGACCGTAGCCCTTTTTTGAGGGGGTTTCCGAGACAGGCTTTCTCTGTGTACCTTTGCAGACTAGGTTGGCCTCCAGATCAGCCTGCTGCTGCCTCGGGAGTGCTGGGATGAAAAGGCATCCACTATCACCGCCAACCGCTGTCGAATGTACCAAATGGCTTTACAAAAGCTGGAGACAGCCAGGCGTTGGTGGTGCACGCCTTTAATCCCAGCACTCGTCAGAGGCAGGGGAGGACTGAGGAGAGCCCATAGGAAGTCTACTAAGTCTGTCCCATCATAATGGAGACTTGTTTTTTTCAGGGCTCGCTATGCCTGCTAATAATGGTTTGGACCAAATACCACAAAGGCAACAAGAAATCAGGTCAATTGTCAGACGACCAGATAGACATGTTTAGATGAGGAAACATCACTGCTGGTTAACACAAGTAGTTTAAGTACTTCACTCCCAAGGATACCACACCTATAGAGGGCCTACATGCCCTCTGATGGTTACTGTGGCCTCTTTATGGGACCAGTTCTAAAAGCTAGTCAGAAATGACTTCACTGGCCAGGCGTGGTGGTTCATGCCTTTAATCCCAGCACTAGGGAGCAGAGGCAGCCTGACCTACAGAGTGAGTTTACCAGGACAACCTCTAAATCAATACAGAGAAACCCTGTCTCAGGAAGAAAAAAAAAATTCACTGTATACAGGTTTTAGGCAAAATCTCAATTTTGTACAAGACTGTAATGTGCAACAGATGTACAGCCTACACTGAATGATATTAAACTATAAAAATGTTGTTCTTTCTGCAACCCTGATGACCTGATACCCAGAACCCCATTATTTCTTTCTAAGTGTCATGCCACCACTCATTCTACAAAGGGGGAGGGGAGATCTTGGAAACATTCACAATTAAGATTCACACAAATTGTTTCTCTGTATCTTTGATCAGGTTTATTCAAATAGGCTGTCTCTCTTTGCTCTATGGAATGAAACAGACTTTAATAATTCTAAGCAGCAGGCTTTTTTTCCTCTGTGGTAGGTTTCTTCTCTGCTGCTTTCTTCCCAGCTGCTGGTTTCTTGGTAGTTGCAGCCTTTTTCCCTGCAGGCTTCTTCAGCTTCTTGACATCCACAGGCTTCTTTTCTTTCTTACTCTCTACTGACTTCTGATCTGCTGCCCCTTTCTCTGATTTTGCTGCTAGCGCTGCTGCTGCTGCTTCTAGTTTCTTCACCCGCAGTTTGTGCTGCAACATAGACAAGTAGGAAATTAAGAATTAAATGCTCAACTTTATATACCAGTACTTGAGAGAGAGGAAGAATCTGTCAGTTTAACAGCTGCCTGGTCTACATAGTGATGCCCAGGACAGTCAGCTAAGGAGTGAGAACCCGGGTGTGGGTCAAAAGACCAACAATGCTTGACACAGCAAATTATGGCTTACATTTCTGGCCTGCGAAGAATGGTATTCCTCCTCATAGTCTTTGCATACGGGTTGAGCTTCAACATTATTCTCAGGTTTTTCAGTGGGTTCTTTTTCAAGACTCTACGATGAATCTTCTTGCTATAAAGAGGGAGCACACGGATCAATCAACCCATACACCTTTAAAAGTCAAAGTAGCAGGCTATAGCAAGAGCTTTAAGTATCAAAACCTTACCGTGGTGCTCGGAGGGCTCTTTGGATCTCTGGGCTTTTGAAGATCCTGCTTAGGTCTGTGTTCATCATCTTGTGCATGGGAAGGCTTGGAAAAAAAGTCAGTAAGTCCAAAATTTAATCTTCTAACTGAAGGTAAATCATTAGAACTGCATTTCCAATGTGTTAACTCTCCAGGTACATACGAGTTTTTACACCCTCAAAAATGGGAAATGTAGAAATCCAATGCGTAATTTAGGAATATATACCTAAATCAAGTGTGAATATAAATATACACTCTAGGCATCCATGATATATAAATATAAATATAGGAAACTCACTCACTTGTAATTACTTTTCAGGGAAGCAGCCTTACGCCAAGTCCCATACAACGCATCTAACTTTCGGAAGGCACCCTCGGTCCAGATGCAGAAACGTCCCACATGTCCACCAGGAGCAAGTTTCAAAATGTTCAGTTTGCTCACATGGAGCAGAGTAATACCTTCAAAGGCAAGGAAGAATCAGTCTGGATTCAATCGACAGGGGAATACAACTTTATGGCTCATTGAGCTACACAAGGCACTCAAGTCTAATGAATTGTGAAGTTCAAGCCTTCATGGTGGAACTCACTCATCTAGGAATCAGAACTTGCACAAAATCATGTTTATTTCAGAAGCACGGACCATGAAGTGGAATTTCATCATTACCGAAGCTGAGCGAGTGTGTACCAAACAGGCAGTTAAAGCCTTTAACATTGTCAAGTGGTGGTGACGCACTTCACAGCACTTGCCCCACACAGGTGGTGCTCTGAATTGGAGGCCAGGCTGGTCTACAGAGCTAGTTCCAGGACAGGCCCCAAAGCTACAGAGAATCCCTGCCTCAAAACTCTTTAACATTGTAAGACTTACCAGGGATGTTCCTGAAGGCCTTGATGATACCATTATCCTCATTATAGATGATGCAGGGTCCCCTGCGCTGGATCCGTCTTCGGTTTCTCATTTTGCCTTTGCCCGCTCTCATTCTCTGAGAGGCATAGACCTATAGAGGGAGCAGCCTTAGTATTCTGATCAAGGTATAACCTTTCCATCAGCTCTCCAGCTTAAAAATGAACAAAA